AAGAAAGAAAGAAAGAAAGAAAGAAAGAAAGAAAGAAAGAAAGAAAGAAAGAAAGAAAGAAAGAAAGAAAGAAAGATTCAGCATCGGAGTATTTATATTTGGACTCTTTTTCTCTTTTTCCAGAAGGAAGGGAAGAAGGGAGGGAGGGAAGGAGAGAGGGAGGGAAAGAAAGAGAGAGAGGGAAGGAGGGAGGGAGGGAAAGAAAAAAGAAAGAAAGAAAAAGAGAGGAAGGAAGAAAAGAAAGAGAGGGAGGGAGGGAAGGAAGGAAAGAAAGAGAGAGACAGAAAGGAAGGAAGAGAAAGAAAGAAAGAAAGAAAGAAAGAAAGAAAGAAAGAAAGAGGAAAAGAAGTAAGAAGGAAGGAAAGAAAGAAAGAAAGAAAGAAAGAAAGAAAGAAAGAAAGAAAGAAAGAAAGAAAGAAAGAAAGAAAGATTCAGCATCGGAGTATTTATGTTTGGACTCTTTTTCTCGGAAATGGGAAAAATTGACCAACTAGGAGTCGCAAATTGCTTAAAGGGACCGCATGACATCACTGCCAGTAAGACTTTATATAGCAAGCCAACTCAAAACCATAAAAGTGGAGACAATAAGGTTTTTTTTTCTGCATTCATTAACACAGAGAGACAGAGAGAGAGAAGAAAAAACATGAGTGAAAAAGGTCGGTTTGACCCAAAATAAAGTCAACACTTGGCAATTCAATCTACTACAGCTGTACACAGGCTCTGCACCAGGACGGGGAAACAGAGTAAGTCATTGTCCCCCTTGTAGAGATGCTTGCTGTTATCAGAATTCCAGGAAAAGCCTCCAAGTGATCTTACTCAATGAATTTCCTTTGAAAGAAAAATAAGGGGGAAAAAATGACAGGGGGAAATAACAACCTGTAGCCTCTTTTGACTCCAAAGATTCTCCCTTGGGACACTTTTAATCCTTTGCCAAAGATTTCAGAAAACCTTGAAGAAAATACTGTGCTCCATTCTACGGCTGCTCAGCAATCTCATCTGCAGAAGCTGGCATGCTTTTCTTCTCCGAAATTACATCTGCTGCGAGTTCTATTTACCTCCTCGGCTGGACCCGCTAACATTTTCCCCAAACCCTTCTTGTTCATACCAGCACTTTGAAATTTCTCCTCCCGGCCTTCTGCTTGGGAGCAGACAATAGAGGTGATATGGGCCCATTATTCATGAGGAACTAAATGCATAACGTGAGAAACTTCTCATCTCCTGACCCTTCTTAGCATAAGAATCGATGATAAAACCCAGAACTGAAAAGGAGCAGAAGGAAAAACCTTCTGGGAAACTGAAGGTAAAAAAAATAAGGGGGGGGAGGAAGCGCGTAAGAGGGACAGTGTGGTTTCCTTGCCAAGATTCAGAAAGAATCGCCAAATTCCGCACTTGAAAAATGACTGAAACGTTACGAGTGAAAACGAAGATGGTGATGCTGAAAATATGGGACAGGAATTTAGGACGCTCTTAAAATTTAGGAGATTTCTTTCCTGGAGGGTTCGATCTTAAGTAGAATTGCAAAGTAGGAGGGCCTTACTTTCAAGTAAGTAGGGAAAAGAATATTCCACACAATTGTTCCAATACAGCATCCTAGTTGAAGAAAAAATAAAGACTATCTATATCTTATATCTATATCTATATCTATATCTATATCTATATCTATATCTATATCTATATCTATATCTA